AAATATCAACTTATCCCAGCTTCTGAATTCTTTAGTTCCCTCTACCCATATAGAGGTTTTCATCTTTATTTTTAATTTCACCATTAACTGTTTTAATATTTGTGTGCCTACTTAACTGCAAGCTTCTTCAGTATAACATCAAAGAAATAAATATATAAACTGAGTTGGGACATCTCATGGTTCATAAATACAGCAAAATTGGAACCTGAGAGAGGGAAACAGTCCTAAGACTGATAAGCAGGGCAGAATTTTGGCTCTGAGTTGGGCTAAATATGGCTGAGCAGGAAAGAAACAAGCAGGGAGCAGAAAGAGTGTAGGAGGTGGAGAGAGGTGCCTCTAGTTGGATCAGCAAGTTGAAAAATACAATTATTTCGATCACCTGCCTGGCTTCCTTTATTGTATACCAGCCCATTTTCTTTCTGGGCTTTCTCCGCCCCCTCTCCCCCCCCCCCTCCACTGCCATTTTCTTCTTAAACCGAATGCAAAAGCAAGCGGATTTGCATAATGACCCTCAGGGGAAGAGCCTAGGTGACTGTGGTCTTTTTCTGACAGCCAGAGGTAGTCTGGCTGGCTGCCTCAGTCCTAGGTGCCCGAAGCTAACCGCAGCTCATCCCACGCCATCTCGGCTTCACAGCATCAACATAAAAGTTCTGTGGATTGTATTTTAGACCAGGGGATTTACCCAGTATGTACACATTGTATACAGTATGGAAATCTCCCCACCCTCACATCCTGCCTTGCTCACAGTGCCCTCCCCGGCAGCATATTCATTGAAAAGGCTATTTATAGCTGTCTGCTTGCCTCGCTTTTCAAAATAATAGATGAGGGGCACAACAGACTTGAAACCTCTTCCCATGATAATTATGTACACTTCAACCATCTGTAATTTTGCATGTCTGTGTATACTCAGCACACCATAGAGTGTTTTGGGTTTTCACTCTTCACATCACTTCAATCTTAGGCCAATTTAAAATGTACAGATAACTATCCTCAGAATTGTTTGGCAGTTTTTCTTCTTACAAAGCAATTATTGTTAGTTTTAAATATTGTGATAAATGTTATTAGTTCCACCATTCTTTCAACTTATTCAGTATTCCTCTGTCCTGTATTTAATTGCCCTCCTGTTTTGTTCTGTTTCTTCATTGTGTTTTCCTGTTGGGTTGTGAGCTTTCTGGATTTAGGGTCATGGCTTATACATGCTTCACTATATTCTTTTTAGGAAAAAATTACTCAAAACTTGTAAATTAAAAAATCACAAAGCAGACAACCTGTACTTTTAGTGTCATATTAAAGCTTGTTTAATCCACTTGCCCAAGGATTATTTAATTATTTAAGAGAAGAAAGTAGGGCAGTGAGTTTGGATCAATAAATCAAGACTGAAGTATTGCTATCTATTATTTTTAACAGCTTTATTGAGATACATTTCACATACCATAAAATTTACCCACGGTTAATGTATAGTTCAGTGGTTTTTAGTGTGTTCACAGAGTTGTGTACCTATCACAATGTGATTTTAGAACATTTTCAGCACCCCAAGAAAACTATTATTGATTAAAGTCTCAGACTGTGATATTCTGTAATTACATGTTTTTGTTTAGTAGAAAAGGTAACCCCAAAGGTTATGCTTTTATTACCCTGTAGACATTTAACCAGTCTTTTTTAATCTAGCCTGGCTATGTTAATCCAACATTCTTTCTCCAACACCAATGCATATTCCTAACTTCCTTTGAACCAGCTGTGCTGTCCTGCTGGTTCCCTTATTGATGAATTAATTAAACCTTTGACATGTTTTCATTCTATATTTGTAAGAGAGTCATGTTTACAAAAATTTGAAACTTATATTTTGACAACCTGAATACTCTCAGTACAATGATGGGCACATAGTGGGTCATCAATAAGTATATCTTGATAGATTGATCTCAATATATATATTTTTTTTTGATAAGGGATGTGTCCGAGTTTTAAACTTTGGGAGAAAAGAATAAATTTTTGAAAGGTCTTAAAGAAAAAAATCAGAAAATGGATTTTGAATAACATTTTGTATTTTTGGTTCTCAAATTCTAAAACTTGGTGTCAGAGAGAGTTAAATTAGAATGAAGCTATTTATTTATTTTCTCTCTCTAGGCTTAAATCAATGAATATTCTCGGAATATACTTTTACTGGCATACCATTTTTATAAATCTATGAACTAAAAGCATTTTTTTTTTGTACAAGTAGTATATGCAATGGAACAAAAACTGAAAGGTATGACAGAGAATGTCCTGGAAAGCTAAGGCTCCGTTCCACCGCGTCCCTCAGCCAGAAGTTGCCCAGCGCTGCTCCTGTTACCGCTTTCTCGGCACCCTCTCACACATGCACACCCACAAACACGCACACAATTAAAACCATTTTATTGAAAACTGTATAGCGTACCAATATACGCTACTTTGCAACCTGCTTTTTTTTACTTACTAATATTTATTGAAAATTGCTCAACATCAGTATCCATAATATTGATCTCAATCAGAACAAGTTTAGTGGCTGATCACTGCTCACTACTTTCGTTGTTACGACATATGTCTCCCCATCAGCCTCCACTTCTGTCCCCCTTGTTCTTCTACCATCTCTTTTCATCATGGTGGCGCAAATGATCCTCTATATATACTGGTCAGATTATCTCCCGTTTAGAGCAAAGTCGAAGACCTCAGCATGTCTCACAAGGGCCGTCCCACATGGCCTGCTCCCGATAACCCCCACGGTGCCCCTCAGCCTCATCTCCAACCACTTTGCCTCACTTCACCTGTCAGCGTAGCTCCCTTGTTACCCTCTAACACGCTAGGCACGCTTCCATCTCAGAATCTCGGCCCTTACCAGTCCCTCTGACTGAGATGCTTATCCCGCAACATCGGCATGGCTTCTTCCCTGAACTCGTTTAGGGTCTTTGCTCAAAGGTCACTTCTCATTGGGTCTTCCTTGATAACCGCCACTAGTTCCCCACCCCCTGCACATACCCCATCCCCACTGCCCACTTTATATTTCCCCGTAGTGCTTTTGAGCTTTTGACATACCATATAGTTTACTCATGTACTGTCTAGATACAAGCTGCATGACAGCAAGGATGTTTGTTTTTGTCTACTGCTATATCCTTAGCACCTAGGGCAGGGCCTGGTACAAAGTAGACAATTAAGTGAATGGATGAATTTATGCTGCATAGTACTTGTATATTTGCCTGCTATTTGTGTGTCCTAGTCTACTGCAGTTACGCCATTTCACGCTTGGGGGCTTCTATGTGCTTTTGGTCTCTGTGGTCTTGATGAAGTTGCTTAACTTCTCTGACCCTTGATTTCCTCCTCTTTGAAAAAGGGATAATAGTTGTACCTATATTTTACAGGGCTGTTGTGAGCATTAAAATTTTTTAAAATGTAAAGTGGGTAGCACCATGCCTGATTTATACTACGTTCTCAATAATATGATTGATTTCTCTCATTAGTAATCATTCATCAGAAATGGACTTATGAGAATACAGGATCAGGTATAATCTAGAAAAATCTTATTTCTTATTTTTAAACCTAATAGTGTTAACTTTATGTGATTATCTCTGTACAGTAAAATGTAAGCCACTTTGTTCTTTTTTTTTGGAGAAGCCATTTAACATCCTTAGAAAAAGCATTTTAGCACATCAGAGGTAGAGTCTATCTTTGCATTTCCACTTTCTGGCTAGTCCTGAAAATAGTACTTGCTCAATACATGTGGTTGAATAAACAAATGAAGGAATGAATCTCAATGGGCACAAGCAAGTTCATATTTATTGAAAAGTTGCCATGTGCCAGATACTGCAGTAGACTCTAGGGATATAAAAAAGAACATTTGGGGGTGGGAGTTTATTTCAAGACCTTTACAGAGTAATCACTGACCTTGGGGGATGTATTTTATATCAGTAGTTTTCTAACTGAGGGAGGGGGAATTTGGATTTTTCACCTTGTGCAAACTGAAAAAGAAAAACTCCAGAAAGACGTCTTTGCCATAATTTCTCCGAAGAGCTTTTCAAAGAAACCGAGCATCAGTGGTTTATCAGGTAGACATCAAGAGTGAAGTAGACATACCAGTGTGGGAAATCCTATGGTGATTCAAGAACTTTTATGAATTCCTGTGGTTCCCTGTGAGTCCCCACATAGATGACTAACAACAAACAATTCTATATTTGGAGCACAGTGAGAGTCTAACAGTGAGCCGTGCAGCTGGAGGCAGAGAAAAATCTCTGACCTGAATCCCAAGACCTAGGCTAGAACCCAGCTCTGCATTCTGACCCTAAGCAAGATAATCCTGGGCCTCCGTCCCTAACCATAAAATGATGGTTTTCAAAATTAACCTCCTTCGAATGAGGAAATGGGTGAGAAATTCTCCATACCCTGAAAACCACTGTACAAGTGGGACTCTAGTTTTGATAGGTAGCAGAAACCCCTTTGGACCATTCATTCAATAACTTCATCCAACTTCTGAGTGCCTGCTGGCATTGTGCTACTCACTGGGCACTTGGAGAACAACAATCACCAGTCCACAGCCCACTCCAGGCAGTTTTTCAGCAAAAGCAAAAATATATTTGCAGGAAGATGACCGTTACAGGGGTATCTGTAACAGCAACAAAAAAACAAACAAACTGGAAACAACCCAAATATATTACAAGAACAGGGTGGCTTCATCTATTATGCATCCCAACATTTTGATTAGAAAGAATATCCAGGCTACCCACACCTGTACCCTGGCAAGGTCAGCCTGTGACCCTTAGAAGTGGTGGTTGGTTTGGGGGGAGACTGGTGACCGTGCCCCAAGGGGGTGGCTGCTTGGAGGCTGGACAAAGGGGTATGTAATGGTGACAGGTCACAAAGGACTGTGAAGGGTAAATGCAGTGGTGTAAGGAGGTCTAGGCAGAGCCCTGCAGGGAGATGGGCAGTTGCCTTCACTCCCTCTCTCTCGGAGACTCGATTAGTGGCTGGTGGAACTGTCTTAAATTTAGAGAACCATGAGCAGTGAGTGTTTGCTACCTTATTACACGGCCCGCAGCTACCGTTCCATGGGTGTGTTTGATACCTCTATGGGGGACCTGCAACGACAACTGTACAAGGGAGGAGAGTATGATATTTTCAAGTATGCACCAATGTTTGAGAGTGACTTTATCCAGATTAGCAAGAAAGGAGAGATGATTGATGTGCACAACCGTGTCCGCATGGTGACAGTGGGCATCGCATCCACCAGCCCCATCCTCCCACTACCTGACGTCATGCTCCTGGCTCGACCAACTAAAATCTGTGACGAGCATGCCAAACACGCCCGGCCCACCAAGGGGAGAGGTCGCAAGCCCACGAAGACCCTGGAGCTCACCAGGCTGCTGCCCTTGAAGTTCGTCAAGATCTCCATCCACAACCGTGAGAAACAGCAGCTGCGCCTGAAGCTGGCTACTGGCCGTACTTTTTATCTGCAGCTGTGTCCCTCTCCAGATGCACGAGAAGACCTATTTTGCTATTGGGAAAAACTTGTCTATCTCCTGAGGCCACCAGTGGAGAGTTGCAGCAGTACCCCAACACAACAAACTGGGGACACGGCGACCATAGAGGATGACAAAAGCCTGGTGGTAAGCATCTACAGAGACTCAAGATAATGGGGCAGGGGGCTTTGGGAGAGCAGAGCAAAGCGGGTCCTACAAAGCCTTTGGCGGTCGCTAAAGCTCAACTGGGAAATGCATTCCATTTTTAAAAGGCTCAGGGCCCCCGCGATGGCACTCACCACACTGGGGAGGTTCCAAGTGCTTCTCCCAATTGTCTCCCAAGGCCAAATTTGCAAGGCCCAGGTGGTCTCTTCCTTCCTCTGTCTCTCTGAGACTACCATTGCTGATTAAAATCAGCATAGCCCCTCTGTGCGCCTGCACATGCATAATTTCTTTTAGCAGCCACTGAAATGGAAAACGGGTAAAACCCCCAACCCTGCAATTCCACTTGTAAGAATCTGTTCTGCAGAGAAATAAGCACAAGTGTGCAAACTAAAAGTGTGTCAAGATTGGGAGCTTTATCAGTGCTTTCCATGGCATAGGCATTATCCAAGCAAAACTGAGTGACTGACTGACAGGGGTGCTGTAGCTGGGACGTGGCATCCCATGTGACCATTAAGCTTAGATGGAAAGACTATAGAGGTTCTTCTAATTAGAAGCTCTGGAGTCGCTGTGCTCCAGGATGAGAGAGAGCAGACTGCTGTGGCCTCGCTTTGTCATCTCTGTCTCACCTGTTTGTCCTCCCATTGGCACAGATCTCAGAACTCCATGGAGAAGGGGATCGGGATAGCGTGAGGCTTCACAAGCTTTGTGATGTGTCCAGAGCCACTTCTTCTGGTTATGCTGGGGGAGAGAGAATGCCCGGTTCACCTTCCACCAGCAAAACTCCAGGTACTGCCGAAGGAGCAGCAAGGCGGGCAGCCACAGGCGTGGCAGTAGCAGGAAGAGCTACAAGCCCTACAGCAAACGTGGCAGTAGCGGGAGCGGGAACAAGCCCTACAGCAAGCATGGCGGTAGCAGGAATGGGAACAAACCGTACAGCAAACGTGGCAGTAGCAGGAACAAGCCCTACAGCAAGCATGGCAGTAGCAGGAGCGGGAACAAACCGTATAGCAAACATGGCAGTAGTGGGAGCAGGAACAAGTCCTACAGCAGGGATGGCAGTAGCAGGAGCAGGAACAAGCCCTACAGCAGGGATGGCGGTAGCAGGAGCAGGAACAAGCCCTACAGCAGGGATGGCGGTAGCAGGAGCAGGAACAAGCCCTACAGCAGGGATGGCGGTAGCAGGAGCAGGAACAAGCCCCACAGCAGGTGCTTTGAGCATAGCAGCAACCAAAAATGTGGGCACAGGCCAGGGAGGCTCAGCCCTGGTTGGAGCCACCGCCAAGGGCCCAGGAGAAAGTGGATTCAGCAAGGCCGTGGCAGGTGCTGCCAACATATCCTCAGAGGGTACGAATTTGGTGTTGGTGGGTGCTTCCAGCTCATCCTCCTTAGGTACTTCCATCGCGACCACGGGGGCTGCCAGTGCCTCCACGGCGAGCAACCTGGCGTTTGCAGGCCCAGTGACAACCAAAAATCCTGCCACAAAAAGAGCTAAAGGTTCAGTGACTGGGCCCCTTGTCTCAACCCTGAAGAGTGAAGGCTACATGAGTGAACGGGATGGAAGCCAGAAGGTCTCCCAGCCTGGAGCTGAGGCTCAGAAGGAAAAAAAAGAAAAGAGAGAAAAGAAGGACAGAAGTTCCACGAGGAAAAGTTCCCACCACCACAGGCCAAGAGGGAGCAAGTCGGCCCGGAAATCATCCTCCCAACAGTCATCGTCTGGCCATAAAAGCACAAGAGGTGACAAAAAAGAAAAAGGGCAGAGCAGCGTCAAGGGCAGAGGACACAGCTTTCACAAGAGCACCAGCCACAGTGCCACCACAAAGGAGTCGAGGACAGCCCACAAACTAGGGAAGAGCAGATCTAGCAGTTCAGGTCATTTAAGTAAGAAATCCAGTAAGATTGGCTCTTTCTTCAGAAGTTTCAGAGTCACTCGTGGTTCGAAAACTGAGGTCTCATCACATGACACAGAGATGGATTTCATGGCTAAGAAGGTAGGGAAGCGCAACATAGAGGCCAAAGTAGAGAAACGCCCAGGTGGCCAGGATCTGGAGATCTGTGGTACCATGACATCGGAGACGATGGAGACGATCTTCATAGAAACCAAACCCATTTAAATAGGAGCCAGGGCAGGACGCAGCAATGGAGACCCAGCCTCACAGAGGTATCCCTGGAGACAATGCCCACTTTCTTTAATAAAGGACACCATACAACTCCAAAAGTAATGCTTCTTTTGTTTGACTTCCTATGTTCCCAGTCCTGGTAGTGACTTCACAGTGGCTTCTGTGATGTGAACTGCGCTCAAGCCTGAGACCCCAGCCTCCAGTCACACAGAACCCCACCTCCCTCCATGTCCAATATGAGTGTCCTGCCTTGACTCAACCCTCTTCTGCCTTTGGTTTCCCCAAGACCGTGGCCCCAGGTCACACCTATGGGCTGGGAAGCACCACCGCCACCAAGTCCCCATGCCCTTCTTACTTTTCTCCCCAAAGGTCCCTGAACATGGACATTCAGTCCAGTCCCTAGACTAAGTGAAGATAGGATTCATGTCTCCTCAAGGAATAATTAGGGGAGAAAAGAAGGGGGTGCAGCAGCATTTGTAGGCAATCAGAAATTGGCCAGGAATTGGTAGCCTGAGGGCCAAATCTTGCTAATTGCCTGGTTTTGTAAATAAAGTTTTATTGAAAAATAGCGACAGCCATTCATTGATATATTGGCTATGGCTGCTTTCACACTGAAACAACAGATCTGAGTTGTTGTGACAGAGACTGTATTGTCTGCAACGTCTAATATATTTACTATCTACCACTTTCCAGAAAAGGCTTGCTTACCACAGATCTAATCTGAACAATTCTTCTTCCTCTTGGGTATATACTGTGCAGAAACTCACAGGTGCTCCCCAGGCGACAACTAGATTTTTAATAATAAAACAATTTGTAATAGCAAAACCCCAAATGTTCATCAAACAGAAAAACTGATAAATTGTGGTACTTGCCTACAGTGCATATACTATAACAGCAAAAGTAAATAATAGCTGTATATGTTAGCATGGATGAACCTCACAGAATGGTGAATAATACAAGCAGGTCAGAAAAATACATATGATATGGTTCCATTTGTAGAAGAGTCCAGAAACAAGGTCAAACAATATATTTGTGGGTATTTGCTAAGGGTGTAGAGAAAAGCAAGGAAATGATAAACACAAAATTCAGGAGAGTGGATTTCTACAAGGTGAAAAGGAGGGAGGGCTGACCTGGAGGTACATACGAAGAGCTTCAAAGGAGGGGGGACGGTTCTAAGCAAAGGAGCACATCCATGGTAATTTATTGTTGTATCTTTTTTTTTTTATTTTAACATCTCTGAAATCAGCATGGTTTTAAATTGCTGTCAGGTGGCAGTCAGTGCCTTAGAAATACCAACCAATTTATTTAACTTATGTTTTCCTTTGTGCAAGAGAAGTACATGACAAAATATCTAAGTCTGAAAGATATCTTTCAATAACTATAAAAGAAAAATTCCAAGTAACGTAAGTCCTTTCAATCCAGGAACATGGAAAAGGGTTAGATATCTCGTAGAATAATCCAAAATGCTGTGTCCTAAAGAACTCTACTAGGTATGCGTGTGGAAGGTAATTCCAAAAATAAATCATACTACATTAGAAATGAGATAGTAAGTTTTTAAAATGTCTATTTTTAAAAAAGAAATTACATTGCCTTTTCAAAGGAAAAAAGCTGTCAATGACTTTCACGAGTCTATCAAAATCATTACATTGTCTTAACAACAGATGATAAAAGTTGAATCTGAGAAAAACAATTCTGGGAACCATGCACATTCGTGTGGAGCCTGGGAGTGGCATGCCCAGCCTTGCAATTTCTGTCCGTCCTCCTCTGTGTCAGTAGTGTCTCACTGAGCAGTGAAACTTAGGGACTTTCTCCAGAGACTGAGTGTGTGTCCCAGAAGTCAAGGAGGTGAGAAACAAGGTATTCTGGGAGGAGTGGCAGCTTAGGAATATCAGGGGAAGCCCTTCCCCGTTGCTCTGATGGGTGGCTGGAAAATCCCTTCTCATGATTTCTGATGTACAAAGACCAATAGATGCTGGGTATCAAGGTGTCCTTGGAGTTGACTCCTGAAGCAGTGAAGGTAGAAGGTAAAAGCAGAGAACGAAGCATGCTCTCAGAGACCTAAGCGGGCCTTTGGGAAGCTTATGGGGAATATGAGAGGTTATGGGGTAAAGGAGAGGGAGGAGGGGGAGCTCTTTCCAAAACAGTCAAATTTATGCTATGCCAGAAGCCGATATATCCTAGTTACAAATGGCTTAATCTCATGATTCTGTAGACCATAGCTTTATCCTTTGTCCTTCTTTTAGCTTTATTTTATGCATTTCCACTCTCACACCCCGAGGCGCTTCTTTTACACAAACCTAATTTGTCCACCACGCAGGGCGTTAGCTGAGCAGACCCACAATTTACACAAATGCCGCCAAAGTAAAGTGGAGGTGGGGATTTGCCCACCACAACGAGCTCTGCCAGGCACTTTCTCTGTATTTCCTTTTCTATCTTGACAGTTCATCAAGAGACACATACAAAATACCTACGTATTTCAAAGCAACAGGCCTCTTCCTCTTGGGCGGGGGGTAGGGTGGTGGAGATATCAATTCAGGCATCAAGTCAACACACCCCATCAGATAAAGGCCAATACTTTTGACAGTAATATGCATCATCATGGTAGCAATTCTGCTGCAGCAAGTGTAAGGAGGAGATGGATGGCTGATTACCAACCCGTGCCCCACACCTACATACAAAAGATGAGAAGGGAATGTTTTGCCAATAGCAAAATAAGATAATTCATGGAGTCGTTGTGATTGGGTGGTCTTTCAGACAGAAGGAAGAGGTACCGTGGTGGGAAGAGGCAAGGTGCCTCAAACTATCGAAGGCAGTGTTGGGGCTGGCAGGGCGAGAGCATGAGAAAGGCGTTGAGGGACACTGCAGGGGACAGGGGCGGCCAGGCTTTGAGGTCCGTGTAAAGGATGTTAACATCCGACCTTAGAAAAATGAAAAGCCACTGAAGTGTTTTAAATAGGGGAGTGACTTGATCAAATCTGCGCTTTGTAAAGGGCGCTGTGTTTGCTGAGGAGAGAAATATTTGTGGAGGGTGTTATTAATGTGTGACCTTATGTCCCTTCCTATCTTTTGCTACAAGATCCATAAAATAAGGAGATCGGAAGGGATGTTTTGAAAGAGGACTTTCCATTTGAAGTATCCATTTTGGGGGGTGAGGGGCGGTGTGGCTAGGACTTGTGGCCTAGGCTGCCGGGGGGTGAGTTTGGATATTGCCTTGGCTTCAGAGTACTTCCCCACCTGAGGTAATGCTCTTTCCAGAGGACACGACGAGAACCGATTGATGTAGAGTGTGATGGTCTGGCCCTCTTAGTCCAACATAGAGCCATTCAACTTCGAGAGCTCTTTGTGGGGCCTGCCTCACAACTCGACTTCTTCCTCTGTGTACTCCTGCTTTCTTCTCTTCCCTTCCACAGGTGCTGGTCCTAAGGGAACTCCTTAATAAACATTCTTCTCACAGAACTCTATCTCAAAATCCTTTTTTGTTTGCAGTGTAATTTTCAATACTCAAGATATGGAAGCACCCAAGTGCCCATCAATAGACAAGGGACTAAAAAAGCTGTGGTACAGATATACAATGGGATATTTCTTGGCCGAACAAATATCCCCTTTGATAATTCACTGATTACTCAAAAATCGACCGGTTAGACTTACGCTTCCAGAAAGATGGAGTAGGCAAATTTTTCCCTATTCCTCTCATTCATAACTAAAGACCTAGGATATTGTATATACAATAAACATCGTAAGACTTTGAAAAGTGGAGAGATGCAGGGAGGCCAGCCAGGGACCACAGGGATTGAGGAGCAACAATACTGTGAGCTCCCTGGGCTTTTCTTTCTGTTTCATGCATCCCAGACTTGGCAATCCTGAAGAAAAGACCCCCAAAAACCTTATCTCTCTAGCCAAAAGACCAGGAAAAGAGCAGCCAAAAAAGGCAGAAATCTTTTAAACAATAACTGCTCCACTCCAGCCAAATAGCACAGAAAAAACAGTGCTTCCAGCCCTCCACTCAAACAACCAATAAAATGGAGAGATTCAAAAGCAGGTATGATAATGGTATAGTTAATTTTTCTTTGGTGAAACTTCACATAATGAATGATGTAGACTTTAACCACAGTAACAGCTACAACAAGTAATTCAAAAGGAATTACCTGCTTTTTTTGTAGGGTTCTAAATCCCTTTAAGTTCTTTAGCCTGCAAGAAGAGATAAGTGGCTCTCATTGGGACCACATTGTCTGTCAATGGGACCTCATACCTGGGGACACAAGTCTTTGTTAATAAAATAAAGTGTAAACTGAGGATAGTTCCCAAATGCCAGGGTTACTGCTGTCCCCTGCTGCTGAGGACAGGTATAACAGGCACAAGAAACCGGCATCCTCACATCCTGCCTGCTGCACACAGATCTGGGCTGTCGAGATTGTTAGTGATGAGGTCGTTAGTAACCAGGAGATTAGGGACTGAAACTGCATAGAAGGGAAAAAGCCATTAGTGATGACTCCCACCTAAAGTACATCATTTAAACAGTACACATGAGCTGACAGAAACTACATGATAGAAAGAAGCAGGAATTGGAGATGAAAAATTTAATTTGCTAGTTCTTATTTCTTCTGCATGGGCCGACAAACAAGTAACAATAATAGGTAATTGACTAAAAAGAGCTCAGAGATGTCATTTATGAACCTGTCTACTAATGACAGAGGTGCTAAGACCAACAGAATCAGAATCAAAGTAAATGGTGCTGGAACAACTGGACTCCCACGTGAGGCGGGGGTGGGAAGAAGAGGAGTCTCAATTTATCTTACACAAGATATATAAAAATTAACCCAAATGTAAAACACAAAATTATAAAGCTTCTAGAAGAAAACACAAGGGGAGATCTTTGTGACCTTGTGTTAGGCAAAGATTTTTTTTGGTTAGGACATGAAAATGTATGCACCATAAAAGTAAATAGGACTTTATCAAAACTAAAAACTTCTGCTGTTAAGAAAATGAAAAGATTAGCCACAGATTGGGAGAAAGTATTTACAAACTATGTATCTGATATAGGACATATCCATTGTGTGTGTGTGTGTGTGTGTGTGTGTGTGTGTGTGTGTTTTCATGGGCATGTTTTTTTATAACTCAATAGTGAGAAAACAAACAAGCAAGTTAAAACTGGGCAAAGCATTTGAACAGAACATTCACCAAAGAAAAGTTACACATGCCAAATAAGTATATAAAAGATACTCAATACTGGGGAAATATAAATTAAAACAACAGCACAACTATTGGAATTGCAACAAATAAAAATAAAAAGGAAAATACTAAGTGCAGATGAGGATTCAGAGCAGCTGCAACTCTTACAGCGTGATAGTAGAAATAAAACATGATACAGCCTCTTTAGAAAAATGCTTGATGCTTTCTTATATAGTTAAACATATAACTGTTACAAGGCCCAGCAATTCCTTTCCTATACGGACATTTATAGGACTGAAAATAGCCCAAATGTCCGCCCACTGGTGAATGAATGAATGAATGGAATTACATACAAGGGAATACTCCTCACCTGTAAATAGGAACAAACAACACTGATTTACCTCAGAAGTTCTATGCTAAGTGAAAGAAAGAAGCCAGACAAGAACATCTGTACACTGTCTGATCTTATTTATATGGCATTCTGGAAAGGCAAAATCATATAAACAGCAAAAAGATTAGTGGTTACTAGGGACTGGGGTTGAAGGGAGGAAAAGGAATGCAGAGAGGGCACAAAAGGAATTGCTTGGGTGATGGAAATATTCTATGTCTTAATTCTGGTGGTGGTGGTTATGTGGCAGTACATATTCATCAAAATTCCTGGAACTGTACACCTGAAGTTAATTTTACCATGTATAAATTTTACTGCAATAAGCCTAACCTCAAAATAAAGCAACAGGGTGGAGGAGAAGTGTGAACATTCCTGCTTGCCACTTAGGCGCAAATGATCGATAATGATGTTTCTTATAATGTGTCAAGCTCCTAAAACAGACAAGGTGCCAGTTACCATGTACCCCTGCCCGTTTCTGCCCCCTCATCCCTGCTCACTCTCCCTGTGCACACAGGTTCCCTTCCTGGCCCTCATTCAGGGAGATCATGGCAGCCTTGGGCTCTCTGCCTGGGGCTTTGGCTGTCTCCCAGAGCTTCCCATGGTTGACTCCTTTTAGTCACTCATGTCTTAGCTCCAAAGTCACCTTCCAGGAAGAGACTATCCTGATCATGCTGCATAAAGGAGCTATCCTTATCCCCTGCGACTATCGCATTATTTTGTATTTTCTCCCCATAGCCCCTTATGATTATTTGAAATTCTTATTCCTTTGCATGTCATCTGTATTTCTGCATTAGAATACACAGCTTTGCCTTTTCTACCTTCTAGAAAGGTGCCTGACACAGCAGACTCACAAATAAGGTTTGTTAAATGGATGTATTTCTTGTTAAGCTATACAAGGCATCTTTAAGGAAAAAACCTTCCATTCAGATTCTGGAAATACAGTTACATAAATGTTATTACATGCCATGTTTTCACCAGCCCCTCTCACGATAGGGATTTCATACCATTATTCGTTTGTAGTTTATTGTAAAAAACTCTAGACTGAGAGCTAAGGGTCCTAGACTGTAGCCTTGACCCTGCCACTGGCTGTAAGACACTGTACCTCTGGGTCCAGTAATTCCTTTTCTAGAAATTTATCTCAAGGAAAAAAGATAGACATGTGCACAGACATATACAGGGTGGGGCAAAAGTAGGTGTATAGTTGTGAGTCTGCAAAACACAGACGTTATTCTTGTATTATTATTTATTAATTATTATATTACTTTCCATATGAACAACTGTAAACCTACCTTTGTCCCATTCTGTACATACAAGGATGTTCATCCGGTGTATTAATAATAATAATGGAAATTGAAAGGAAGATAGTTGCACACAATAGGGCTCTGGCTAAATAGACTGTGATTTATCCATTACTGTCACACTGTGAATTCATTTGGAAAGGATGATTATATTCATTTTAACTTATTCAATAAATATGCATTGAGTACTTGCCAATTTCAGGCACTGTTCCTGGCGCTGAGCATGTAGCAGTGAATGACACAAAGGCCCTACACTTAAGAACACTGTTTTCACGGGGAAGAAAGACTAAAAATAAATCAATAAATATACTGCATAGCATGGTATCCAAGGATAGTAAAGCTCTATGAAGGAAGGATAACGTGTAATAAGGGGGTTGGGGCATCCCCCAAGAGAATGGCTGGGCGTGTGCTATTTTATATGGAGCGATCAGGGAAGACCTCTCTGAGAGGGTCGCATTTGACCAAAGACTTGAACGAAGTGAGGAAGTGAGGCAGGAGGTATCTGTGGAGAGGTCCAGGCCAATGCAGTGGCCCGAGGTAGGAGCACGCTTGACGATTTTGAGAGAAAACATAAAGCCTGTAGCTGGGGGAGAGTGAGCAAGGGAAAAAATAGGGGAGGGAATATGATGGGAGAAAAAGCCAAGGGCTTTATATGGGCCATTGTGAGAATATTTGATTCTCCTGCAAATGCGGTAGAATACCTTGGAGAACTTTGAATAGGGGAGTGGTCAGATCTGTCTCATATTTTAAGACTGTGTGGTAAGTAGGCTAAGGGAGGACAAAGTTGGAAGCAAAGCAGCCATTTAGGAAGCTATTTCAGAAGTCCAGGGGAGACAATGGCTGCACGGACTAGGACCGTAACGGCGGGGATGGTACGAGCTAGTCACACCGTATTTGGGACTTGTACGTCTTTCTACATAGAACTAGTACAAAGGGCCAGTATGGTAGTTTTGATGGCCTACGGGAGAAAGAGGAGTAAGGGATGAATTGTTAGATTTGAGCCTCTGCGGCTGAGTGAAGCTGTGTACTACCGTCAGGTAAGGAGGCCTGAGTAAAAAGTGGGTGTGGTCAGGGCCTGGATACCCGCCGGCTGCTATCACCTGGATGATGTTCTAAGAAGCGAGAACTGAGTCAATTCAAATAATCACATGGGCTAAGTGCTGCTGAGAGTGGAGTAAAATAAGGACTAAAACTGACCATTTTAAGTCACAGGTGTAGGTAACATTGGTCTCGGGGCAGGGAGAAAAGCCTGATTGAATATGCTCAAAAGTGAATGGATTTCCTCAACAAACGAATTTACCTGGGGGGAAAGTTGGGACTGGGGGAAGCAACCTATAGAGTACACATAATTAAAGGACACATCAGCCAGTCACAAAGGAAAGGACTATTGATTGAACCCTGAGGCAATTGGTGTCCAGATACTGACTTTATTTTGATGCTGTTAAATAATTACTCATTTATTTTAAAATGAGCTCTGTGGATATGTGACGAAAATAAGAGTCCTTATCTGACATGTTGAAATGAAATATCGATGGGTAGATAATTGTTGCAGTTGGGTGATGAGTACACTATTCTCTCTAGTTTTTTTTGTATGTTTTTGTGAACCCTGAGAAGGAAATATCTGCTGAGAAGGACTCCTCGGGGTTAACTGGACACAAATTTATAACCAGAGTCTAGCAGTCGTTGCTGACAAAGTTCTCTCGTGGGACTACTCTCCATTTCAGGGGGAAGCCACAGACTGAGCTACTCCTGTGTAGTACTGTCTTCCTGCCTGTCAACTCTTAAAAGGAGTGTCAGGTATAGTCTTTACGCCAGCGGGCTGACACAGTGCCCTGTCCAATGGGAATGGCAGAGCTATAGCCTCATTTGCATCTTCAGTGACCAATCAAAACAGCTCCATACCTAGCAATCAGAACATGCAACTCTGACCAATCAGGACAGCGCTACTTGAGCCCATCATGCTATGCAAATTTGGATTCCTTATTTGCATAGACCAATCAGGGGCTCGGGTGGGAACTTTCTCTGTAAAAAGTGGACTCCCCGTTGAGTGCAGGGAGCACATTTTCGTTTTCAGTGGGGGCTATGTCTCCTACATTAGTAAACTGTTAACCCCAATCGCTTCTCCCTTTTACTGCATCCCATGGTGGGCACTCCTGTTGGCATTAAATTGGTGGCAGCAACTTTTGTTGACATTTGGAATGCTCCCCAATAAGTTTTTAAAAGTGAAATCCAAGAATCTTGTTTTAAAGAGGTAAAACTTTTATCAGAATAACAATCTTTTACGTGCAACATGTTCTTGTAAGTCTTCTATGAATTTATAAAATTATGACACTTCTAATGGAATAACCTTCAGAAGAAAACTTTGATTTCTTTTTCAATTTGCTTATTTGTTACCTGCAAAGAAAACAGGCATCTCTGAATTTCTAAACAAAAGTAAAAGTAAATGGATGGTGAGGAAATGGAAATTGAGAATGTATTATTCATTCCCAATCACGGTCACACATATTTCAGGATTAAAAAATATTTAAAGAGTATGTGGAATCCAATCTCATTTTAAAAAATTGACATCATTTTAAAAAGTATCTCCTTATCTCTATTTTTCAATTTTTATGTATGGCGTATAGATACGTTGTTTAATTGTAAATATTTAAAAAAATGGAGCTACCAGCTGCTGTTGTAGTTTTACTAACAGAAAGTTAAGGTACAACCCTACACTAACAACCCCAACACGCTCTACCTCGGCGCTACTACTGGGAACCAAGCCTGGGATAACACAAGATATGCGCAGACGCAATTGCGAAACAGCGGGCTCGGGAGGGACTAGAGTCTCGCTTAAAGGACAGCTCTTTCAGCCAATAAAGACACAGCATCATTGGCTTTTTCCCGAAGGAGGACGGCGGAAGTCGGATTCGCTTGCGGTGGAGAAGGCGGCTACCAGAGTAAACGCAGAGCTGAGGTAAGTGGGCGGCGACGTTTTGGGGCTCGGTTCCGCGAGGTTTTTCCCGTTCCGGACCCCTCTGCTTTGTCAGGGCGGACTGGGAAAGGGGGAGGCCTGGCGCGGAGTCCACTCGCTCGCCTCCCCTCCCGCGCCCCCCAGCGCGGCCTCCCCGCCGCTTGTGGAGCCAGGGCGTGGGCGGGCTCGGAGCTTCCTCCGGGTGGGGAGGCCGAGCCGGACTGGAGGTTTGGGACGCCTGGTTTGCTAAGCTGTGTGGCCTCGGCGGGTCGCCATCCCTGCCCGCCCTCCTCAGGGAGCGACCCTGAGATGGCCGACCTGATAGGGGGCGGGGGAGGGAGATAGGCCCCACGCCTAGTCGTTCAGGATTCCCCTGGAGAGGTTTTAAAACTACGTTGTAGCAGCCTCTTTGAAAGTAGACAAAGGGAATCAAGTGTCGGGGCAGAGGCCCGGGCGACGCGCCGTGACCCCTGGCGCTGGTTTTACTGCAAGTTCGGTCTAGAGAAGTGATAGAGAAGTAAAGCGTAATTTCTCTACTGTGTCGGGGTCCTTTCGTACAGTGGGAAGCTTCACGGTTTCCCGACCTGGGAGCGGGCGCCGTGCCGCTGCGAGGACCGGGCGGGAGGAGGAGTCCTGCCCTGCACCGGCCGCCAGCCTTTTGGTCTGGCGCCCAAACTTCCCTCGTCGAGACTTGGGCTCCTTCTCTCTAACGGGGTATTGGAGCTCGTGCTTAACTCGGAAGCGGGGCGAAGGTGGAGAGGGGATATACAGCAATGGTACCGTTACCCGCGGTTGGCCTTTGGAAAATGGCAGCTTGAATAGAGGAACGGGCATGGTGCAGAGGAGCACGAAACGGGACTCGACACCCGAAAAGGCTGGAGTGGGTGAAACCGAGGCTGTCCCAGTGTGTGTTGAAGTACCAGATCAGTGCCAGTTCTCTGATTTTTGTCGTTGGTAAGAGAACATTCTTGTTTTGGGAATATGCCCAGCAGTGTTTGGGTGTAAAGAGACGAGAGACCAGTAGGGCAGATGAGGGGACATGTTAACATTTGGAGAACCTGCGTGAAGAATATGGAACGTTCTGTGTAGTAATACTATTCATACAACGTTTCTGTGTCTGAATTTATTGATAAAAAGTTTTTAGAAGTGGATTATAACTTTGCAGCCGTCATAAGTTTGTAAATAAATGGCACAGTACACATATTTGTAACCCCCCACCCCATGCACTTTCACTCTTTTTCCTTAATGTCTGTATTGTATTATATGCACTTTTTTGTGTGTGTGTGTGCTTGTACCAGTGTTTTTATAGGATAAATTCTAGAAATAGAATTTTTGGTTCAAAGGATATCAGCATTAACATTTTCAAGACTGCCAAATTAAATCCAAATATGTACTTGTTCCCTTTTTTATCATGTGGGTATGAGAATTTTCCCATATTCTCTGGGGTACCACCGAAGAGTGTTAAGTGGTGGTTGTGATGGTGGCTTCTTTGAGGGCTGAGGTGAGTGGGTGCTCACCCCACAAAGCTTCCCTGAAGGGCCAGGATTGCTAAAAGCCTGCTTCTAAATTTGGGAGGACCCCTCTGAAGAAAGTGAGAGGGAGGAGCGTGTGACCTTTGCTAGGGCCTGCCACACAGAAGGTCTTCTCACATTTGTGGAATCATGGAATATTTGAAATTTTGTGTTAGAGGAGAAGTATCCTTTTTAAAATTTGGTTTTAAAAGTGTATTAGCCTATCTTTCTGCCATTATTTAGCATTTGCATTTTCCTTGCCATCCTTTGCCTATTTTTTTTTTAATGTAGGTTTTAAAAAGACTCATTCAGTGGAGTTTCACAGATCTCTAGCATCTTTTAGGTCTTGTTTGGGGTGCTTGAGGTAGAGATGTGAACAAGACAGGCAATTCCTGAAGTTACAGTGCTTTTCTTCTTGTGGGGATGGAATCAGAGAATACGTTTTTAAAAAATCAAAATAAAATATCTAGTATTTGCCCTTTGTTAGCTTTCAAGCATTTTTATCCCCCCCAAATGGGATTGCCTGTTAATTTTGCTTATGATGTATTTTATTTGTTTTTATTAAATTTATTGGGGTAACATTGGTTAATAATAATATTATGTAAGTTTCAGGTGTACATCTTTATAATATGACCTCTGTATACTCCATTGTGTGCCCATCACCCAAAGTCTAGTCTCTATGTTTTTGACCTTGTACTCTCTTTGTCCTTACCCACCCACATTCCTCTCTGGTAACCACCAGTCTGTTGTGTTAAATTTATTTTTGGTAGTGAATCTATTGGTCTTTTGCCGTAGTCTTAAAACTTTGATGTTATCTCCTTGATAGATTATAAACAGCACTAGGGTGGAGGCACTGTTTCTTGTTTACTTTTGAAAGACAGTACAGTGTAGGGTTTGAGCCGGTCAGACTCTGGATCCTTCCTCAACTTCTTACTCTGACCACCCAAGCAGCTCACCTTTTCTGAGCCATAGTTGTCTCATTTCTAAAATGGAAAGAGCACCTTTCTTTTCTCAGATTTCTCACAACCATGAGAAAAGTATTTAGAACACTGTCTGGCATATAATATGCCCTCAGATATTATCTGTTATCATAATCATCCCTGGATACTCACTGTCATATATTAACAAACAATAAATATATAAAGGAGTGAACAAACATTAAGGACATTTGTACCTACTTCCAAATTCTCATTGATTTGGAGCTCTCTTGAAATGAATGGGGCTGCTCAACAAATATTTATGAAGCTCCTGTGTGCACGGTTGTGGACACAGTGAGAATTATGATAGTCAAAAATTTTCTCTTCATAGAGCTTATTGTCTGATTGGGGAAACAGATCAAATACTGGTACAGAGAATAAATGCCGAAAGGCAGAATCTGCTTTTGATGAATAATCAGAGAAGTTCTTTCTTTAGAAGTGACATTTTAAGCTAGTGCCTGAAGCAGGAAACCCAAAGGCAGAAGAAGCTGTTAAAGAATTGCGTAAGAATACTAGTTTGAAGACAATATTGCTAGGCTATATAAGGGGAAAGGGATGTGGTGTAAGAATTATGTTGGCCATTATAAAGAACAGTAGTGAAAGCAAAAAGATCCCTGGGGAAGCAGTTGTATTCCAGCAAGAGGGAATAGTGACTTGGTCATACTTGATGAATTTGAGGTAGTGAGGGTGTCGAATCAACAGGACATCATAAATTGGACAGTGATCGGGAGGAGAGGAGGTTGATAAAAGTGGAAGATTAAGATAACTCTTAGGTTTCTGGCTTGAAACCCTAGGTAGGTAATGGGGACATTTTATTGAGATAGGGAAAATGAGAAACGGAGGAGTAGATTTAGGCTGTTTCGTGTATATAGGGGATGAAATTTTTATTTATGTACGTATGTATTTTTTTTTTTTTAAGTTTGATTACCTTATGAGACATCCAGAAGGGGCTCAGAGGCAGTCTGGACTGGAGATGTAAAGAGACATAAACATAGACCAGAGTTTTTGTACTTTGACAGAACATATTGACATTTTGAGCTGGATAATTCTGTATTGTGGAGGGCTGTCCTGTGCATTGTTAGTGTTCAGGAGCATCCCCAACATCTACCCATTACTTGCCACTAGCACCCCTTCAATCATGACAATTAAAATTTTCTCCACCTTGCCATGTGTCTCCTTGGTGGGTAAAATTGACCCTGGTTGCCTAGGAATGGTATTAAAAGCTATGGAATTGCCCTGGCTGGTGTGGCTCAGTGGATTGAGTGCCGGTCTGTGAAACAAAGGGTCTACCAGTTTGATTCCCAGTCAAGGCACATAACTGGGTTACAGGCCAGGTTCCCGGTGGGGTGGGCTCATAAGAGACAACCACACATTGATGTTTCTCTCCGTCTTTCTCCCACCCTTCCCCTCTCTAAAAATAAATAAATAAAATCTTAAAAAAAAAAAAAAAAAAAGGCTATGGAATTGACTATGATCACCCAAGGAAGAATTTAAAGCAGAGGTCTAAAACTAGTGGCCAGCAAAATTGTTGTAGATAAGTTCATTTAGACCCCACACTACTTGACAATTTCTGGAATTAATTAGCAGTATTTAAAAATTGAGAGGTTTCACATAAAAATCTGGGTTTTTGCTCTCTCTTGAAAAATTAAGAAACTGAGGAGCAGTGAATCTTCATTCCCACATTAATGCTAATGGCTAGAAGTTTTGAAATCTGGCTTGTGTTGCTTCGTTCACTCTTATCCCTGCCCCATAGCGCTTCACTCTTTATGTTGCCTACCTTTTCCCTTTTGCGAATCCTTAGAAGAGGTCCCAGCGCAGTCCTCTGAGACACCCCGTGTCTCATAGGGTGTTCAAACTTTTTAAAAAATGGATTTGCTTTCATCCCCTATACATACCCCTATATACACATATAGCCTAAACCTTTTCTTCCCAGTTTCTGATCTTCCTTTCCTCAATTAGATGTTCCCATTATCCACACTGATATTAAACTTTGGATAAAGGAGAAGCGCAGTACAGGAGACGGAGAAAGAGTGATTAGTGAGGTAGGAAGGAAACGTAAACGTAGGCTCACAAAACCTGGGCGGGGAGGGGAGTGTTGCAAAGGAAGCAAATGCTGCTGATAGGCTGAGTAAACGCCTTAGAAAAATATCCAGTGAATTTGGTCCTGTGGTGATCGTTGATGACCTTAATGAGCAGTTTTTGTGTAGGTAGGAGGTTGAAGCCAGATTGGATAATAACAAAAATGAATATGCAGAAGGCTAGTAAAACAGTGAATTGTGGGCTCGTACAGTAACTCATGATACCTGTCTCCACTGTCTCACTGATTCTCAGCAGTATTCTGTCTACCACTTTGGCTTGGTGGAAACTCAGGGATATCCCAGAGCTGTTCTTAGAACGTAACAAATTCCAACTATAAAACTGCCTCCAGTATATTACGGATCCAGTATATTATGGATGTTGTGGATCTTGAAAATCTAATAAGATCAGTCTAAATGAACACTCAGAAGGGAACCTTCTCGTTTTATGATATACCTAAGCCTCAAGTGAAATAGATGTTATTGTGGCCATAGAAGATACATTTGGGTTTGAAATTTCAGTAATAGAAATAGAAAAAATAGACGTAGAAATAGAAAACTTGTAGAGTACCTTGCAGGAAAAATGGGGTGAAATTGGATCATCATTTTATCAGAGAAGCTTAGATGATACCAGCTGTCTTGAATACAGCAATATTAACTTTGTCAAAGTGTTTATTACAGTTATAGGTGTTTGCTTTTGGAAATCAGTCTATAATATAAAACAAAGGTGGTACATGTGATAGGGAGACAGCATGGGTAGTTTGGCTGTGGAGAAGAGTAGATAAATAAGGCATAACTGGTGAGGTGTGGAATCTAGATTTTCTTTATAGATGAAAATATACTACAGCATATTTTGTTATGCCAGTGAAAGTATCTAGGGAAGGAAGGTAGTTGGATGATAAGAGCAGGATGGCAGCCTTTCCCCAGTGTAAATGTGAGTTTTAGAAACTAAGGAGATCATTTTGTGCTGGGCCCCAAACTGCTAGGGTGAAAAAAAGAAAATATTCTGTCTCTAGTCACCCAATGTGACAGGTTTGTTTTGTAGAGGCACTCTAAATCTTTGGTCTCTTTCTATAGGTTCTTGATCTTCCACAATGGGTGAGCCACAGCAAGTGAGTGCCCTTCCACCACCTCCAATGCAGTACATCAAGGAGTATACGGATGAAAATATTCAGGAAGGCCTCGCTCCCAAGCCTCCACCTCCAATAAAAGACAGTTATATGATGTTTGGCAACCAGTTCCAATGTGATGATCTTATCATCCGCCCTTTGGAAAGTCAGGGCATCGAACGGCTTCATCCTATGCAGTTTGATCACAAGAAAGAACTGAGAAAACTCAATATGTCTATCCTTATTAATTTCTTAGACCTCTTAGATATTTTGATAAGGAGCCCTGGGAGTATAAAACGAGAAGAGAAGCTAGAAGATCTTAAGCTGCTTTTTGTACATGTGCATCATCTTATAAATGAATACAGACCCCACCAAGCAAGAGAGACCCTGAGGGTCATGATGGAGGTGCAGAAACGTCAACGCCTTGAAACAGCTGAGAGATTTCAAAAGCATCTGGAAAGAGTCATTGAGATGATTCAGAATTGCTTGGCTTCTTTGCCAGATGATTTACCCCATTCAGAAGCAGGAATGAGAGTAAAAACTGAACCAATGGATGCCGATGATAGCAACAATTGTACTGGACAGAATGAACAACAGAGAGAAAGTTCAGGTCATCGGAAAGACCAGATTATAGAGAAAGATGCTGCTTTGTGTGTTCTAATTGATGAAATGAATGAAAGACCGTGAAGGATGTTTCTTTTGTTGTTGCTTTTTCTTTTCAGTAAATAGCATCATATATTGTTAATTTTCTCTTCAAGAGTTAAAAGAGAGAACTAAGAGTTACGTAAAGAGCTTCAGTCTCCAACTTTATCAATTATGAGATATCACAGACAGTAATTTCTCTCTATAGCAAGCATAGGCAAATGAGTATGACTATATTAAGAGTAATCAATTTAGCCCTGGCTGGTGTGGCTCAATGGATTGAGTGCTGGCCTGCGGAGTGAGAGGTTGCTGGGTTGATTCCCAGTTTGGGCACATGCCTGTGTTGTGGACTAGGTCCCCTGTTGAGCGATGTTCAAGAGGCTACTGATTGATGTTTCTCTTGCACATCACTGTTTCTATCCCTCTCTCCCTAATTTCCACTCTCTAAAAAAAAAATAATAATAATAAAACATTTTTTTAAAAAAGTAATCAACTTAAAAAGCAAAGTGCTGCTGTTGTGTGGAACATTCCTGTTGCTGTAAACATTGAAGATAATACTTAGTAATAGCAAACTTTCATCCTTGAAAAGTAGATTGGTCATCTGATTTAAGAATGCTAAATAAAGAATATCAAACTGCATAAATACGACATTATGAAGTCTTTATATTTTACTTAAAATTTGCTTAATCTCTAAAAAATTTTAATATGTTAGAGGAACCCCGTAGAGTTATAAAAAAGCAGTTTTATTTTTTCTCTTGACTGCTCTTGTAAACACACTATCTTGGCCTCTTGCCCCTGTCCTGGATGGTCCCATAACTTGTTTTAGTCATTTATATAGTAAGTCCTTTGATCACTTTTAGTTGCAACCATTCATTTTAGTATAAAAATGTTTATGTAACTAACTGTACATTTTCTTTAAAATTAAATTTATGCTTGCTTAAAGCTGGGAGCCTGCAGTGGGAAGGTAGTTTGGTGGCAGAGACTGTTAAGTGTTCACTGGAGATTGTGTCTCCCGAGATAGTTGTTTAGATAAGGCTACCCGGCCAGGGACTACATTTCCCCACTCTCCTTGCATCTATGTAAGGCCACGTGACTAAGTTCTTAGCAGTGGAATATGAGGGTAAAAATTCAGGCGTGCCCCATAAAAATTTCATAATTCTCCATTTTCATCTGCTGGCTGGATGGCCACACCTAGGATAACTTTACCATTTTGAAGATAGTAAAGGTTCTTGAGTTTGGGCACTTGAATGACTGAAGACTAGGCCCCCCCTTTCATTAACTCCCCTCCATCCTAACCCCAACTGATTTGACTTTATATGAATAAGAAGTCACCTTGTTTTTTTCACAGATTTTCTTTATTTTTCTTATCTTCCCTCTAACCTCCCAACCAAAGTCTTGGTGAAGAATTGGCCTTGTATCTGAGTTTCTCTGTTGGTGTTTCTCTTAACACAGGCGAGTGGTTCTCAAAGTGTAGCCTTGGGCTAACAGCATTAGCATCACTTGGGGCCTTGTTAGAAATACAAATTTCACATCTAAATCAAACTTTAGGGGTGGTGCCCAACAAGCTGTGGTTCAGCAAGCCCTCAGATGATTTTGTTGCAAATAAAATTTAAGAATCACTGATAAAGGTAATGTCTTTTCACAGATGTCCACTTCTGATTTTTTCCCTCAGTCCCTGGTTTCCAGTATACCATCCTTAAGGAATTAACTCTATTAAGGTCTTCAGCTCTAGAGCTGGCAAAGACCTGTTTAAAGTGGCCAGAGGTCAATTCTCTGTGAAACATCCATCCTTCTCTTTAGGAATCTTGGAGTGTAGGCTATTCCTAAATAGACCCTGGTCACATTTGTTTTTGTTTTTTTTCTCGGCATGTGTTTGGTGTAGATCTGTGGCCTTCAGAGACTAGAATACACAGTCCAGTCTCTTAAGCTTAAATTGAGGGGGCAGGGAAATCAAACTAGACATTGTGTTAACACTTGAGCAACTCTCAAAAGAAATCTCTTCTTTGCCCTCAACCCTTTTATAACTTTGAAGGTGTTGGGTTAAAAGGAACAAAACCAATTTTTGGCTGCTTTGCAAATCCTCGCCAGGGGAAGAAAACTAATTGAATACAACGTTACAAGATTTACAACATAATTTGTATATGAATTTGTGTGCATTGGGAGAGGATTAAGGGATTTAAATTTTAAATTCCACTAGGAACCTTAAAATCTGAGAGGATATATCTTGTAGATCTTTTAAAAGAGTTTTGATATGAACTATTACACTGATATAAAGTAGCACTAGTGGTCTGATAATTACAAGTTTAAAAGTTTATATAAAATCAGTCTTGTGAAAATTAACATCTCTGTACACCTGGTAATAATGGTTATTCCTGATAGATTGATTCCTCTGAAATATCTGTAAGAATAGCCTGGGCACCTCTTACAATTACCATTCCAGGTCCCAGAACACAGAGATGCTTATTGCATTGTTCTGGGGCAGAGTCCTGGCTTTGACTTTTAAGAATCTCTAAACTACTTTACTGTGCAGTGGGTTAAAGGAGTATTGCATTAGTCAGTACTCTATACTTGAACTAGTGTAAGCAAAGGGATGAATTTTTTGGAAGCATACTGTTACATGATTGAAGGATAAGTAGAACATCCAAACTATGGAGAGGATTGGGAGGGTCTCCTCTGGAACTGGAACTTAAACTGCATCCAGACCCCCTCTGCCTCTGCTGCCTGTCTTCTGTTAGCCTTACTCTCAACTTCCTTCTCTTGACAGCCCAGCTTGTTCATGGTATGGCCGAGAACATGGCTGCTGATTGTTACTAAGTGTTAAAGTCTTTCTGCACCTCTATCTGGGAGTTGTCTCTTAGATTTAAAGGGGAAAAAAAAAGTGAAAGGCTAATTAACCAGTCTGCATGGAGGAATTAGCCATGGCATTCCTGATTCCAATGGGACCAATCAGTTGGGCCCTGTAAGAACTTGACAGTCCCGAAAATGTCTTTATTGGGGTAGGTATCCACCTCCCGCGGGAAAGGAGATGCTGAGCTGACCTTACTGTCGATACCTACTACAAATTAAGCACACATAAGTTTTTGATACAAATAGCAAAAATAAACGTACTAATTTATAGTTACCTTATCTATGTGAGGGGGTCTTACCCATCATTCTGTCATGTATTCATTGTATTCAGTATTGTCTTTTCTATGCTTGATACTTCATTAGTTGCTGGGGGTTTGGAGAGTGGGGAGGAAAGTAGAAGAAAGATGAACAAGAAAAATGAGTTAATTTTTGAAGGTGTTCACACCCTAACCATATAGCTATCATATGAGTAACATTCTGAAGACTTGCTTCCAATTATATCCCTATTGCCTGCTCAAAACGCCTTTTTCACTCTCTTTTTAAGTTACGCTTACATGGTCACATTTGTTAAGGGCTTTGGAAGGCAGCTTCAACTGTGCTGTGTGGTATTTCAGAAAAGGCCTGTGCTAGGTCCTGAGGTCACTGGAAACAAGTTAAAGGGTGTCATGAGGAAATAAAAAGTTGACATGATTTGGATGAGAAAGGCCATTGTGCCCACAACATAGGAGATTAGATGTAGAGAAGCAGATGGAGGGCAAGTTACAGGATTTAAAAGGCCAAAGAAGGAGTTTGCTTTCCTCTAAATCTGATGGGAAATCAATAGCAAACATATATGGGGCTTTGCTGACACTGTTCTAATCACTACATGAACAAAGTCATCTTATCCTCACAACAACCCAATGAAATCAGTATAATTTTTACACCCATATTACAGATGAGGAAGCAGTGGCTCTGAGAAGTTACGTAATTTACCCAAGGTCTCCAAGGCAGTGAGTGGCAGAGCCAGGATTGGAAAATCAGTTTCTAAGCCAACACACTCAACTTCTATACTTTACCACCTCTCTACTGCGTCGTATAGTTAATAAGTCACAGGTAAGTAGTGGAGCCAAGAGTAAAATCTAATATTTTGACCCTATAAAGGTCCATACTCTTAGATATTACATGATAATGGACTGAGGGAGGAAGAGATTTGTACATGGAAACTACGAGCGAGCTCTGGGCATGTTAAGACATTTATGTCTTAAACTTCTGTGGGTATTTTAAGGAGATACCTACGTATCATATCCACTTTATGAAACTGAGGGCCAGTTTTGTGGTTTTATGGCTACAAAGCACTTAGCATAATTTCTAGTACTTGGTAAACTATCAAAGTTCAACTATTCTTCCTGCTAAATTGTCTTTTGCCTGGGGCACTTAGAATTAAAGATTGAAGAACTGGTTTCAAATTGCAATGTAATGAATCTAACAGTAAGTGGCACTCTTACCTCAAGTGTAGTAGCTGCATCCAGACGGCAGAGGCTGAGAGAAAGATGACGAAACTCAGAGGTTCTGTTTTTGATTCTGAGGTTTTTTCACTCACCAAGCGAGGCTTGCTGCCTGTGCCTGACTGTGACCTTTTCTAGTGGAGAGAACAGGGTGTGAATTCTTCAAAATAGTCAGTATTGTGTTGTGAATTAGAATCTTTTGATCAGAGCCTTTCTCCCAGGGCTGCCTAGAGGAGACCTGGGGAAGACCTCAGATGTTACTGTTAGTAGTAAGACACTACGATGCTTCTCACGCTTGCTTAACCTGTGACCAGATTCTGTGAAGTTGCTGGTTCCCTGCTTCCCACTCTAGGTTTAGAATAAGGAAAGAGATTAAAAAAATGGGAGTCCAGTGGAGGTGTGGTTGGCCAGGAAGGCATTATATCAGCTCTACAAGAAGAGATGCCTTGTGGGTCTTTGCTGATTTTTACATTCATTCATTCAACAAATCTATTATGAATACTATGCAACCAATTAAGTTATTAAGAATGAGAACACTGATGTCAGAAGATTAAGATATGGTAAGAAGTTGCTGGGTATAGTCTGAGCCCATATTTGTGTGTGCATAGTCAAATTAAAAAATTATATAAAAACCATTTCATGTGAGGAAACTGAGACTCAAATGTAATTTGCCACACATGACACTTCAGCTAGCAAATGGCAGAATTAAAACAGAAAACAAGAAAAAGAACAGGCGTAGTGGAATCTGGGCTTTACTATTAACTAGGGTAATTATGATACCTGTCTCATAGGCTAGGTACCATCCAATATTGAGGATGAAAGAGAAGACCTATCCTAATTGTCCCCAAGCAACATATTCAGGCCTTGGGCTTGCTAATTATCTGTGTGGAAATATCTGATCCGAAAGTGCACGAGTCTGGGGTGCTGAGTTACTGCTACCTGCCAGGGAGAGTGATAAGAGAAGGAGGAAGGCACAAACAATAGAAATAAAAAGGATATGACTATAGATTATATTGACAGTAAGAAATGGTATGAAAATATTGTAGATAACTTTATACCAATAAATTGGAAAACACAAAATGGTCAAATTCTTATAAAATATCCAGTATTGGTTTAAGAATAGAGAACTTGAATAGCTTTCTAATGATTAAAAAAAAAAAAAACCAGTATGCAAAATATCACAAAGAAACTTCAAGTTGTTTGAAATAGCTTTGCTGGCAAGTTCTACCAAAGATTGCCAGAAAGAAAAAAAATCCAGTCTTATGCAGACTCTTAGAGAATAGAAAAATAGGAAACATTCTTCAGC